CAAGGGCCCACACGTTCACTGAAATTGTTCCCACATATGGGTAATATTCTAATCCTGTTTATTAAGATGAGAAAGAACCTGCCCCATGAGCAGAATATTTTCAGCATTATTGAAAAAGAACATTCAATCTACTCTTGCGTAATAAATTAATAAGCACACCATAAAAACCACTGTAGACATGTGTATGTGAACATAATACGTATAGATGCACACACACAATTCTTCACAATTAAAACCCAACTTTTAATATTTGCCAAACTGATCAACAATAAAATCTTCAGCCCCCCCCCACCTTAAACACCATTTAACATGAATCTATAGCAAGCAGATGACCGGAAATATAATCATAATAATAACTGGAACTTGCCTAGCATTGTGTACCAGACATTCCTCCATAAGTTTTACATGTACTTATTTATTCAAATTTCTCAATGCCTCTGTAAGGAGAATACTATTATCACCAACTCTCATTTAACAGATGGGAAAACAGACCCAAAAAAGCACCTTGTCACTTGCCAGATCATACAAGTATGAGTAAAAGTTGGATGGGGACACACATTCTTTGACTCCAAGGTCATCCAGCACTGACCTTGGTCATGCTGTATTGTCAGTTATGTTAGCTCTGCATGGATATGTTCATGTTTCCATACCCAGAGATGTGGCTTGATATTAGATAGAAGGGTTCTAGATTTCTTTTATGGGTTACTTTTGTTAATTTATCAGATTGGAGATGTCTTTCCTCTCACTGAGGAAAAGACAATTAAGTTATTAAGAAACCAAAGCCAGGCGGTGATGGCCCTTGCCTTTAATCCCAGCACTCGAGAGGCAGAGACAGGCAGATCTTTATGAGTTCGAAGCCAGCCTCGTCTACAAGAGCTAGGGTCTGGGATAGACTTCAAAGCTACAGAGAAACCCTGTCTCAAAAAAGTTGAGGAAGGAAGGAAGGAAGGAAGGAAGGAAGGAAGGAAGGAAGGAAGGAAGGAAGGAAGGAAGGAAGGAAGAAAGAGAGAGAGAGAGAGAAAGAAAGAAAGAAAGAAAGAAAGAAAAAGAGAAGAAACTAAAACGTACTGTTCTGATGTTTCAAAGCCTGAAACATCAAAGTTCTACAAATTTCACATGTTATTAACAATTAAAAGAAAGGTAGGCTAAGGTTTGTCATAAGGACAATCAATGAAGATATATATTGGGTATGTTCATATCTGATTTTTACTATCCTAATTTTTTTCTTTTTTTATTTTTTTTCTCTTTTGGATTTTTTCAAGACAGGATTTCTCCGTAGCTTTTTGGTTCCTGTCCTGGAACTAGCTCTTGTAGACCAGGCTGGCCTCGAACTCACAGAGATCTGCCTGCCTCTGCCTCCTGAATGCTGGGATTAAAGGCCTGCGCCACCACCGCCCGGCTGTCCTAATTTTTTTTTTAAGTAACCCAGTTCAGCTCAGCTAACATTTGAAAAATTCAGTCTTCTTTCCTTGCTCTCATCGGCCCTCCCTTGCTCATATTCATGTGTTTTTAGTCTGGCTTGCAGGAATGGAGGCCCAGGCCTTCCCAACTTCTCTCCCTTAGTTCATCTTTTGCTCTCAGTGAAACCATTTAGTTGCAAGACCTCTCATGGCTTTCAGATTCCAATTACAGTTCCCTTCTTCTGATCCCAACAGCTCTCACCACTCCATAAGCCAGGCAGTCTTCCCAGAAAAAAAAAAAAAAAAACAAAACAAAACAAAAAAAAACCTGTCTTCGGTTCAGCCTCCAGTGCCCTGTTGTACAACTATCACATTGGGTTTTATGATCGAACTCATCACATAATATCTGAAGTTGAAATTTTCTCATGTCAAACAAGATCTAATGTCCTCAGATGGGAACTTCACCTTCAAATTTCATACTCAAGTCTACATGACAAGCAACGGTTACAAAACTTGAACATATCAGCCAAAAGATCAAACGGAGGACATTATCAATAAAAAAAAAAAAGGCAAAATAGTAAGGATAACCCATAGGGTAATATTTGAGGGATAAACACTGACTTTGTCTGCAGAGAATATATTTGTCTAACGAAGCAACATGGACAGAGGCAACAGTGAGCGAAGGAAGGTGGAAGTGCCTCTAAAGAACATTCTAAGTCGGAGGGGAACACACAGAGGTGACGGAATATGGCAAGAGACCATTCAAATTCATGACATAAGTGTTGGTTAGATGGAAGTGAAGTCATACTTCAGGAAAGATTTGGTTTGAAACAAGATCTGAAGATGGCAATGGAAAGTCCCTTATAATAATAATAAAAAAGTGGGGGAATAGCTCTAGATTAGCATAGAAGGAGACATTCAGACACTTGGCCCAGTAAGAACTAGTTGATGGCTGACTAGTGGATATGGGAGAAGAAGAAGCCAGCTTGTTGTTGCAGTAAAGGCAACAGTCTTCTTATGTGGAACATTTGAATTATATAAAAACAAGGTCCAATGTGAAATCTAAAATGGAAAACCTGAGACTATGAAGGGGAAACTTCTCTGAAGGACTTTGGCCATGGTGATCTTTCACTCCTAACAAAGGATCTTTCTGGCGAAAGGAAGGTTTCTTAACATTTTAAGCCCAATGAAGACCTCAGAGTCAACACTGAGGTAGCAGGAACACAGTCAAATGTCATCGTGTACTGGAGTGATCTTAGTAAAAGTTTAGAAGAGAAAAACTGACAACAAGAACCCCCTTGTAAGGGCTCTACCAGGGAACTCTAGCCAGAATTCATACACAGGTCCATTTCCCCTTCCTGGAGCAATTCCCATTTGCTCTCTTCAAACCTTTGCTACTGTTTTGTTAACTACATCGATTGGTCTTAAGGATGCTTAGAAAAGGAACTGTGCCCACAGTCAGAAATAAACAATGTAAGCCAATCTGGCATTTTTGAAGCTGCTGCAACCCACTCATAAAAAGCCCAGGGCAGTAGCTAGGCTAAGAGGAGGTAAGAGAAGGCCAATGAGCACTGTGCTTGTGCTGATGAGGGACTGGAATGGGAGCTTTCACCAAGTTCTAAATGGAAGGTAACTTCTGGAGCCTGGAGAACCTGGGTGATGCCAGTGTGGATCACATGTGAGACCAGGAACATCCAACTGGGGCTCTACCAATTCAAAGGCGACTAGTGTTCCACTCACCGGTAGGTAACCCTCACAATGAACACTACCTGTAACAGGGGGTAACCAGCTGTAAAACTGGGAGCAAGTCAGGCCACTTCTCTGAGCCCTAATTTCATCACTGGCAAAGGGAAGGGAGGACAGATAACTGTTGCAGAGAGCTCTGCAATTTGTCTTCTTAATCCCTCCTGTGATAGATAACACTTGCCTGGGGACAGGAGGAGGAACTCAAAGGCAAGTCAGGGTAGCAAAGGTAAGGTTTCCAGATGGTCAGACAGAGCTGTGCCTTATCTATTTTACTCAAAGTCATCAACCCCCTTCCTCCCTGGGGACCCCCATGGCAATCCTAATAGTTCTTATTCCTTACTTTAATCACCATCATTCTCAAGTGCCACATAAATGTCATGAGATTTGTTTCCACTGCTGATGTTCATAGTAAGAGTTATTGACCAAATGAAAGAGCAAATGAACGGCGTTCTCCGTACCAACACCTTTTTAGAAAAACAGTCAAGTAATTCCAGTTGAGGTACAAGGAACTATGGTGATAAGATTGCCCAGTGATTCCTATAGCCACCCACTGTGTAAGCATTGACTGTCCTCAGCAATCCTCCTCTTCAGTTCAAGTGTCTGATAAGACCAAGGGTGGTTCCCTGGGGTGATGAGGACAATTATTTGTGATAAAGGTACTTTACCATTTCTGGGAAGCTTTGGTTCTTTCCACTTGTATCTTGCTTCTGATAATCCAAAGCCTTGATAACATAGAAAATGCCAGCAGCAAATTACGTCAGCAGATGAGGAACCAAAGTGAAACCCTGCTCAGAACACCTGGTCTGTGAGATGATATCCACATACTCACCCCAGTCAACCATTGATGGTGATGAAGGTGCTGCCATGAGGAGACCATGAACATGAGCAAGAAAGACCAAAAAATAAATCTCTGCCCAATTTTTTTGAGACAGGATCTTACTGTGTGACTCTAATTGACCTAAGACTCAACATGTAGACCAGGGTGGCTTTGAACTCAAAAAGATCCATCTGCCTCTGCCTCCTAAGCACTAGAATTAAAAGGTATGTGCCGCCATGAGCACCTTTGTCCATATTTTTAGAGAAATAAAAATACAACAAAAGCAAAAACAACATAAACCCCCTTACCTCCTTTATGCAACTGGTATTAGGGCCTATGGGACTTCCAAGGTGATTCTAAAACCTCAAGCTAACGACTTCTGAACAGAACCACAATTCTTCTGATGCTTACAAGTTTCATCTTAACAATACTGAATAGTTTATCTACCAGCACACCATTTCTTCAGAGCAACCAGACTTAGATTCAGACACAAAAATAGTTAAGAGAAAACCCGGCCAAACCTAAATGCTGGGCAGGTCAGTCAATTGTCCCCTCCGACATAAATGCTTTGAAAGAGAGGAGGCATGAGGACTGCATCAGACACAAAGAGAGCCATAATCCCCCCAACCCCCCCCCCAGCACTAGGTCACTGCAGAAGAGTATAGGGGCAACAGATATCTCTGAACACTGAACATGCAATGGACACAGCCTACCAGCTCGGCTCTTAGGCGCTAACACTTGCATCATTTTTGTACCTTGACACCCACGGGTTAAACTGCTAATTCCACCAAAGACCATTTGTCCTTTTCATAGATAAAATAGCTCTGGTGTTTTAAAAAAAATCTTCTCGCTCCAAAGTTTATAAAGAATAAATTATTTCTACGCAGTAAAATTCACTATTACAAAACAAAGTCAGGGAGTCTTAAAATAATTTGTATTCTCATTCAAATGATTTCCTAAACTTTTCAGTATGAGTGGACACAGTCCCATGAAGGGCTGTCTCCTGTGGTCCATGCAACACATGCCCATGTCCTCACCTGTAGCACGTAGTAGGAGCTGATACATATTTGGAACTTGAACTTGAGTCAGGTGCATGCCCAGTGTCAGGACTGAGCACTCATTCTCCTCAATGTGTAAGAAGAATCCCTTTGCTTACTCACAGCCCTTACTCCTGCCTGATTCTCACTCTTTCACCTGGAACTCAGGGTGTACTTTTGTCTCTGTTCTGATCCTAATCTCCTATCCCTTTGGACTCTTCCTCCACAATCTCCTCCCCTCTAACCTTTTTTGACCAATAAAAATGAATATTGGTGTCTTTAGAATTTCCACATTCCTTTAATTGACAGGTACTTTTAAAAGGCAAGGAGAAAGTTGTGAAGGAATGTTGTTGAATCATACAACAGTTCTATTCCAAAATATTTTGCTTGACAAAGAACCTACTCCCTCTGTTTGGGGTCACAGTGTTGAATCCTGAACTGAAACCTGTAGCCCTAACTAGTTAGAAGCTCTGGTACCCCATGGTGATGGAATAAAGCATGCTTCTTGTTATCTGACTTCAGTGTTCTGATCTCCATTATTTGCCCAACCCCAGGACCCAACAGTGACTATGTTTAGTTATCTATTTCTGCAAAAACAAACGAAAAGAAAAGAAAAGAAATCATAAGTTCAGGAACTGGAACTTGGGGTGACAACCACTAGTATTTCCCATTTCTGAAGGTCAGAAATCCAAATGGGTTTCACTTGGTTCTCTCTTTCAGATCTTAACAGTGAAACCAAAGTGTTGCTGAACCAGAATTATTACCTGAAGGCTGTAGCGAGCATTCCCTTCCAAACTCATTCTGCCTACGGGTCAGACTCATGTCCTTGCACTCACAGACCGATGTCCCTGGTCCCTCGCTAGCTGCCGGCTGGGGTCTGCTTCAGCTCTGAAAAGCCATTCCAACTCTTTGGCCGTCTTCACCCTCCGCCTTCAACTTTAACAACGGTAGGTCAATACACGGCATGCTTCGAATCAATCTGTTGACTACAGTTGGGATAGGTTTAACTATATCTGCCTAAACCTTTGTGTGCTGAAACTTTAGTCCCAAAGGCAACAGGATTGGGGTTGGAGTGATAGACTACGCCAGAGTGGAAACAACTCGGAGGAGATGTGGGAACCTAGTGTCTGTCTGTGGTTTCTCCTTCCCAAGGGTAATCTCTAGTTCACACACATTTAATTTCCCTCTAGCTCACACGTGTTTAATCTCTCTCTAGTTTACAGAAATTTAATCTCTGGCTCACACACATTCAATCTCTAGTTCACATTGTGATACAATAAAATGGAATTGAGTCCAGACAAGTGGTCTGTCCTTGAACCCCAGAACTGAGAGTCAAATAAACTTTTATTAATAAAGTTCACCTTACTTGAGTATTTTGTTATAAAAATGCAAGATAAAAGCATGCCTTTGCCACTTCAGCTCCATTTGCCACAAGCCAGAGAAGGCACCTTACTTCTAAGGGCTCCTGGGGGACAAACTGTCCCACTGGATGACACAGGATCATCTCCTTGTATTAAGATCAACTGTGCTATAAAATCAAAGATGTGAAAAACTTAATTCCTCTTCTCAGGCCTTGCGGGTTCTTTGCTGGGACCAATTTCTGTTAGCAAAAGGCAGATTAATGGAGGATAGGAGTGACAAGCAATTTCACTAGCACATGTCATGTGTCACAAAACGCTTCCCCTGGGAATGTATCCTGCAGTTTCTACTGCAGATGTAGCCTAGGCTACAAATATCAAGACATCCACCAGAGCAGGGTTGTGAAACTTTTTCCACTTACAATCTGTTCTTAGCCCAAGGAGTTCTACAGGACTCTGGGTTTATAGGTGCACAAACCAAAATGTAACAAATCTTAAAGTGATTTATTTTAAAACGATCCTTTGATATACATATGTACATATATTATGTATATTATGTGTATACACACACACACACACACACATATATATATATATATATGCCACTAGTTAAAGACAAGTGTAAATTTGCAAACCAATGAGGTGAAAACGGCAGCTTATTGCTACAGCACGAACTACAGCTTGGCCAATACGCGATCATCTCCAGCATTGTTGAGAATTCGTTGCTATTCTGGTTTTACAACTGTCAAGCTGAGAATACCACATCACATAGCAAAAACCGAGGGAGGCCTGCCTGCTTTGTTAGAAATTTTGTCCTAATCCCAACACCAAATTCATTTAACAGTTTCTACGGCCACGTGTAATGTGAGGTGTGTATGTTGTGCTCAGGACCCGTGCTGCCATGAGATCATGGGTTGTACCAGATGTTCGCTTATGCAAGCATTGTGAAAAATAGAACCAATTAAAACGATTACTCACGGGAAGAAAGAAACAATAGAATGAAGGAAGGATAGGCTATTCTTCTGTCAAGGTGTTTACATTTTGATCTCAAAGAATACTTACAAAAATAGCTTTAAAATATGGGGAGTCTTTTTCATCTGTTTAAAAGATCGGTACCTCTTCCTTGAACTGCCTCTCATCTGAGTATCCTGAAGCCTCCATGGCGGGCTCAATCCACCCAAACAAACAAAACATGTCTGCCATGTGACTCCCAGACGTGTCTGCTCGGCGAAGCAGAAAGACACCAAGGGCACAGGGGGTCTTCCGAGGAGTAAAGTCTCTCCTAGAGACTGATTGATATTCCGCTCTCATTCCATAGACCCCCCCCCAACACCCCACCCTTGAGGCAGGCATCTGAGACAAGGGTCTCCCCTCTTTACATCCCATCATCTTACAATCCCGCCCTTTCATATTCTATGGCTTCCGTTAGGAGAGCCGCTCTTTTTATGCTAATTGGAGTCGGCTGCTTCGGGCTGTGACACAGACATTTAGCGCTAACAGTCAATTACTCTTTCCTCAGCCATCTGGCAAAGGAGTTGAAACCAGCAATTTTAGGAGTCAGAATTAGACATCTGAAAATGAAAGTGCACACAGGCAAGCAGAGGGAAGAGGGGCAGGTAGCTGGGTGCCATTAGTCCCCGATCTGCCGAGCTGCGATCTGGACTTAGAAGCCGCATGTTGGCCTCCCCCACACCATTGCTCTTTGCGGTGGACAGTGAACACACTGCAGACTAGACGATACAGCCAGAAACGGCAGCAGTGGCCTTGCTTTGCCTCCATCAATCTCCCTCTAGGTAGGTGCATCTGTTTAGACTGTCTGACGGTGGTCCCCTAGCTGCTTCTCTCAGTTCAGCAAGGACTTGTGGGACAGAGCGCCTTCTACACAGCATCTTCTGATTCTTCTTCTTGCTTCCTGACTATGTGTCTCCCTCCCTCATGAGTCGGCCTGCTCTCTCTGCCCTTCCATATGAATGTGCCATTTATTTCTCTCGTCAGGTCATCTTTAGTATATATTTGCATGTCTGGGGCACTTCTAGGTCTAAAGACTAGAGGGAGATGACTTACTTATTAAGAAAGGGGACTCCTACTAGACAGGTAGTTCTCATCATGTGGGTAATGACGTCCTCAGGGATAAATAACACTTTCTGTGAGCTGCACGTCAGATATCCTGTATATCTCTGATATTTACATTATGATTCATAATAGTAGCAAAATTACAGTTCTAAAGTAGCTTGTGATTTTATGGCTGGTGTTGAGCACAACATGAGGAGCTGTGTTAAAGGGTCGCAGCACTGGGAAGATTGAGAACCAGACCTAGACCGATCTGACCTTGACTGGTTTTCTATATGGACTCATTCCAGCAAGACAGTGGAGACTCTATTCCTGGCTGTCATTGCAGAAGTCACAAGAAAGAACAAAAGTATACCACTACCAGGGCCAGCCTGCCCAGAACATACTGCCTACTTCGGTCAACAGCCTGAAAACTATACAATTCACCATTATGCAAGGCATAGCACTTAGGAGTCAAAGGCCAAGCCATCCCTAAATCATCTACACATAACTAATATCCCATGTAAACACTACATAGAAAAGCAAATATACACACAAGTGCTCATCAGGTAAATCTGAGCTGAAGACATGTCCAGATACACCTGCCCACACACCTTCTTCAAAGAGGAAATGCGTCCCAGCTCCAGGCATCTTTGATCTTTGGGATGCTCCTGCTAGTCCATCATTCTGGCCCTCATATCCAGGAGGGAAGCAGACGCAGCTGATGTGGAACACGAGGCTTGGGTAATGTGCTGTATTGTGAGACTTGTGCAGCTGTGACCACACACAACTTAAAGCAGGGAGCATTTACTCTGTCTCATGCTTTCAAAGATTTCAGCCTGTGGGTCCTGTGGGCCCACAGGCTTGGAAAAATATGATTGAAGCAGAAGTAAGTAGCAGAGAAAATTCTTCACTTCCCATCAAGCAAGGGTTGGGTGATGTCAGAGCAGGCCAGGCTTTAGTAAGTAGACCCTTCAAAGGCATGCTTCTAGTGATCTATCTCCTTTCTCCAGTCAGGTCCCCCTCCAATAAGTTCCACAATCTGCCTGAGCACCGTCTACTAAGAACCAAGTTTCCAAACCATGAGCATATGGAGGGCATCCCCTATTCCGACAGTTAGCGTGTTGTCTTTCCACTTGAGTTTTGTCTCACCCTGCCCTGAGTTTTGTTCTTTCTCCTAGCTTCTCATTCTAAGTTCATGCAAATGAACCATATAAGCCCACCATGGTTCACCCTGTGAGTCTTCTGCAAAACAAACAAATCACAAAAATAAATAAATAAAACGCAGCAACTGCCATAGTAGATGCAAGCTACCATGGCATTGGGATTCTACAAATCATGACCCAATGCATGGTGTCTGACATGCTTAACTAATGGCACAGACTCGAGGTCTTTCCCCACTTGTTCTCCCAAGCCTACGTCTCTTTTGCAACACAGGACTGGGCTCTCTGTAAAGCTCTCTCATTTGCCTACAGACTGGAGCATTAAGGAAGTCTATGACTGCCTTCAGTCAGCTTGCAGAAATTTCAATAACAAAGGAAGATGAAATTCACACTACAGAGGAGCCTGAAAGTCCGTCAGTCACTCCCACAGCCCTGAGGAACTTCATCTAAGACCAAGCATTTAGCACTTGGGTTTGTGGAAGACACTCTAAAACCAAATTAAGCCAGGCCCACTCATCTGTGCTAAAATACATTAGCTCTACCTCTAAATATACCTACACACACATGCACAC